TCCATGCGCATGGGTGGGGAGGGCGTAGATGGGATTATGAAAGATGGTGTTCGGGAGAGAAATGCGCGCAATGGTAAAATGGGGAGAGATGCCAATGCCAGTACAGAATCACTGGTTGGTAGTGTTAGGAGCTTGGTTCCAGAAGGATATGAGCGGAAGTACGATGATGAAGTAGAGGATTATGTAACAGTGAAGATTGGAGAGGATGGAGGAAAGGGGAAGGAGAACGAGCAGTTGAGTGCGGGAGAGAATATTGCTGGGCCCGATAGTTCCCCTGTGTATAGTTCAGCGGATGGGATAAGCGAAATTGAAGGACAAGGGGGATTGGACATGCTAGATACACCTCAGAGGGGTGGTAAGGGCAAAGAAATGCCGGAGACGTTGAGGACAACGATGAACTTGGATGGACAGGATGATGTTCATCATGTGAGTCCGAGTCTCTCGGCTGTAGGGGCTCATTCGCGTCCGGGACCGGAGAGATTTTACTCGGCGCGGGAAACTCAAGAGGAGGCTAAGAATGCTAAGGAGACCTAGAAGTGGTTCTTTCACAAGTGCTTTAGAGGGGTTAAGTGCTGTTTTAATTTTAATGTCTGGAATGGGTAGAATGGGTCACTGGAAATTTATTGCATGAACATCAGCACCATTGTGCAGAAGTCATTAGACTGAGTGAGTACTTGTAATAGTATGATAGCGTATACCAAATAGCGATAGAGATGAATAGTAATTAACGATAGATTCAAGTTATAATTATTTAACTTTTCAGTTTCTGCATTTACTTTAGGGTATGCATGATACTAGGAATTCTCATTAAGAATTTGAGGCTGTGGATGGCATATCGAGAGAAAGGAATGTACTGGGCGGCTTCAAAAGTCCCAAAGTCAGTATGGCAGATAGATAAACGTTTTATCGATGTCAAGCTAAGCTACCCCTTTATGACCTGTGATGAGCAACAGCGGATAAATCATGGAGTTACACGGAGTGTTGTAATTTGCCGATTTATGGATACTTAAACTTACGTTACTTTCTGATTGGTCAATGAAGCCGCGGTTCTAAATCCCGATGTAAAGCGCCGCCGGTTTGACAAAAACAACAACAACCTTTGGATTGAACTTCCATTTTGGAGACCGACATGTATCGGTGACAACAAAGGGAGCCACGTTTGTATGCCTTCTATGGTGGATAAATCGATGTTCCTTGAATCTTTGGAATTTGCATCTCGAACTTTATTTTGCCTACCTAGGCATACATCTTGGCGCACCAACCTAATGTGGCAGGTCCCAACGTTATCATGATCACAGCTTCCAATACACCGGGCTTGGTACGCCCAACTTCAGCTTGCAGATATGCCACCAGTTTCTTTCACTCGTGATTAATCGCTTAAGGTTCCAGCTTCCTGAATGCCGGGCTTGGTCTCGCGGCATTTGGATTGCAGATACGCAAGTGGTTTTTGTTATCTGAAGCTGATGTGTCACTCATTCTCAACCTTCCTAAATGTTCTTTTCCATTTTAAGAATAGGATTTTCAGGTACTAGAAAGAGCTTCTCAAAAGAGAAGGTAGAGAAATTTATATATACAGCCAAGATAGCCAAGCTTGCCAAGTGGTTCACAATCTTGAAGAACCTCACTCACATACCTATTTGCGACCAAGGAGAAGCTACAAGGCAGAGTTGAGGGGGAACAGTGAATGGGAAAGCCACAATATTGATACATATATATACTTGAGCATCATGGTCTACATGAAGTTTTCTGATCAGTTTCTTACTCCTCAACTGCCGCGATGAAGTTGACATCATTGTATTACATTGCGGCTCTCGCTCCCATTTTTTCCCAGGGATGTCTTCTCCCAGAAGAACGGGAAGGAAAACCAAGGGTCGTTCGTCGTCAAACTAGTAACGGCCTACCAATCGGAACTGGTGATCGCTACAGCGCTGGCACTATTGCACCACGAGGTGTGGGATCTCAAACCACCACATTCACCACACTCTTGAACGTCAACGAGATCTCAAGTGGACTCAAAGCTCTTGCGAGTGTATACGGTATCACCACTTTCACCACCCCATACAAAACATATAACGGTGCTTCCATCACTGGCGCTAAAGTTGGAGGTAATGGAACATGTAACGATGCGATTCGCGTGTATTTGAATGCAGCCGTTCACGCAAGAGAGCGAGGTTCTTCTGATGGCTTGTTGTTCTTCATTAGTGATCTCTTGTATGCGAACAAGAATGGTCTCGGTTTGAAATTCGGTTCAAAGTCTTACACCAATGCTCAGGTGAAGACTGCCTTGTCGACAGGAATTGTGTTTATTCCGCTTAGTAACCCTGATGGTGTTGCTTATGATCAGTCCACCAACAGCTGCTGGCGTAAGAACCGAAACCCAGTATCAGGAACTGGTTCTTCTGCTGGTGTGGATTTGAACCGCAACTTTGACTTTTTGTGGGATTTGACCAAGTGGGCTTCAAGCGTTCGAAGTGAAGTTGCATCTTCCAGTCCTTCTTCTGAAGTATTCCATGGTATGTACTTATGCTTCTTTATTCCTAGTTCAAACTAACTCTAACCAATCTCACTCTATAGGTACCGCCGCCTTCTCAGAGCCAGAAACTAAAAGCATCAAATGGGTAATGGACACCTACTCCAAAGTTCGCTGGTTCATCGACCTTCACTCTTACGCCGGTGACGTTCTCTACTCCTGGGGAAGTGACACAAACCAAGCCTCCTACCCTACCATGAATTTCCTGAACACGGCCTACAACTCAGTGCGCGGAATCGTATCCGATACTCCTGGTTCTGGTTCTGGCTACGGTGAATACTCACCCACAGCCGAAGCCACCGCCAACAAAGCTGCTGCAGCAAAGATCGGTGCAGGTATGAGTGCGGCTGCTGGACGCACATACTCTGTCATCCCAGCTGCGGCATTATATCCAACCAGTGGTGCCAGTGATGATTATTCTTACTCTAGACATTTTGCCGATACGACCAAGAATCTTATCCATGGCTATACCATTGAATTTGGATTTGGAAACTCGGCATCTAATTGCCCATTCTACCCCACCCAAGCTCAGCATAACTACAATTTGCAAGAGATTGGAGCTGGTTATATGGAGTTTTTGCTTGCTGCTGTTAGCTTGGGATTGGGTGATGCTACGACATGTTAGGGGGCTGTTGCATGGAAACATACTCGGAGATGGAGACAAGGATCTGGGGTCTTCACTTCAGGTTTCGTTGGTTGTCCCTTTGAAATGAAATATGAAGCACAATGGCTGTAGTCAAGTGATGCATAAAATAGTTGGCTTGGTTCATGAATCAATTTCGAATTCAGTCAAGTACTCATTCTTGCATCTATTCATTCATTTCTTGTTACTTCTACTAAATCCATTTTTCTCAATATAAAGCTCGGGTCTCCTGAATGCTCCACGGAGAATTCCCTAGTCGAGGGTAAAAGTAATCCAACTTGTGGGGAGTGAGCTCATTTAGTAATATGCTTTAATGATCAACAGTCAATTCCGCTTCGATATGGTTCTTTAATGAAATGGTAAAACAGTATTCGCTCATAAAATAGGCTTTGGTCACCATAGCAGTACATAGTCTCTATTTGGAAAATTCATGATGCTTGATGATTGCCTAGTGGACTAAAGTGAGTTCAGCCCAGCTGTTAGCTTCCCACTACCAGAATTTCCAATAGGACAACTTGCAGTTCATTTCTCTTGATCAATATCTTTCCTAACGAGATGATATGATATATTGGTGGGTGGGTGATAAGGTGGTGGTGTTTGGTAGCCGAATTGAAATTTAACCGGTAGTATTTCATATATTATTAGTAGCCGGTAGTATATAAAATATTTAAAATAAAATTATGTTTGGTGATATTAAGTATAGTATTTAGAATATTTTGAATATATTATCTGAATTTATCAATAATTAGTAATAATTAATCAAAAAATTCTAGAATAATCATCTAACCTTTTTTGATAATAAAATTTAATCTAGAATTTGAATCTTTTTTTAAATATCCTTGAATTAAATTCAATTAATTATATTTAAAGTTAAAGAAAGTAAGGATTATAACTATTTAATTATTTAATTATTTAATTAGAATCTTAAATCTTCAAATAATATAAGCTTATTGTTTATTAGCTTTTGAAACATTAAAAGATTATATCATTTTATTTTTCAAATTCTAATTATATTTTCGAAAGGTAGTATATAAAAAGCTATTCTTTTTCAGTATATAGTAGTAGTAGTAGTAGTAGTAGTAGTAGTAGTAGTTTTTGAATACTATATATTAAACACGAAATTCATAATATTTCATATACTACTCTTCAAATGTTATATATACCAGAATTAATTCGGCTACCAAACAGGCCCTAAGCGAGAGGCCGACGGTGCTAGGAAGGAGCTAGATAACAACCAAACCTACCTACTCGAAGCAGTAAATCTACCACGTGCGACCCATAACATTGGTTTCAAGCCAACTAAATGAACCCCATGTCCCAATTCAGAGAATCTGGGGTAGTGGGGTGCACCACCCAAGTTCAGAAGAGGTTTAGTTGCAAAACCGGATGGCCTCGATCGACAAACTAAGGGGGGGTCTAGATATGAAACTTTGGATTTGGAGATTAACGGCCGCACAATTTTTTTTGGGATGGACATTTCGTCATGATCGATGAGTAAATTATGTCTCGAATTTCTTGTTCTTCTTTATCTTTTTCTTCTTTCTGTACGAGAGATTTGGGCATCGCACACTTGCAATTCTTCAAGGGGATACGTACGATATCATACTACAACTTTCAATCTTAATAATCATACGAATATTCAACTTTTATGAATCTTTGAGATCAGCACATATATTCGATTACCTTATTCTCCGTGATACAAATATTTAACCACTATCAATCCGCAACATCGACACACACATGCAGCTACTCCCAATATCCAATACCCATACAAATATTTTTCAATCATCACTCTACAATATTGATACAAGCATTGAACCGCCCTCAATGTCTGAGACTACTACCGAGATTGAAACTCTCTCAATCTCTAATATCACCACCGAGATTGAAACCCTCTCAATCTCCAGCGCTGGCAGAAACAATGATTTACCAATCAGCATGACCGGCTCGGACACGATAACCCAACAACCGCAATCTGCCAATGTCGAATCGACTACTTTACCAGCATCTGCACCTATCCGAAAATGGCGCTGGCCCAAACCATCTGAGAGGAGAAAGAAAGCAGGAACACTACAAACCCATACCCATACCAATACCCACATCCTCCCACCATCTCAAACCCCTAGTGAATGGACGCGGGGAAACGAATTACCCCAATCGTCCTCTCAGAACCGCACTCCCTCATCCTCATCCTCAGCACCCGTCCTTTCTCTCACCCAAGGCTTCGAAAATTACTGGGAAGATATCTCGGACGAAGAAATGACCACCTATATCCCGTCCAACATCATCACGATCTGGAAAAGCGTCATCGCGCAAAAACGTGCGCAGGCGAGAGCAGCGGGTGTAGAATATGAGAGGGAGTTGGAAGAGGAGATTGAGGAGAAATATGGTGGGATTTTGAGGTGTGGATGGGAGAAGAATAGAGAGGAGGAGAATGGGCAGGAGGAGGATAGGCAGGAGAGGAATAGGGATAGAGAGGCGTTGGTGGAGGGATTATTGGAGATGGTGGAGGAGTGTGGGTTGTTCGGGCTGGTGAGGGAGAGGGGGAGGAGGGCATTTTGGGAGGGGGATGGAGTGGAGTAGATGTGGGGAAGAAAAGAGAGGTGGGAGTTATATATCAATCATATGTTTCTAGCGATGAGGAATGATTGCCCTCATGTTAATGCTCAGCGCAGCGTCTGTCTATATTATAAGATGCCGGTACTCTAAATCTCTAATTTGCATAATTATCAAAGACTACAAATTAATCCGCGATCACATGATTCATTGCAGTCTTCATATTCATGATGTCTCCCCCCTGCCATTTCTAACTACATACACATATCAAACCAAGCAGTTCCTACGTCACCCATCCTGTGAACCCCGAAGCCTAAGACCATCCGACCAAACTCCAGACTTCCAAACCTTCAAATTGGGGTTCCTCAAGGATTTCAAATCCTCGTCCCCACCCAATTCCTTCCTTTCATGGTATACATATCACCCTACTCCTTATCTACTTAAATAAATCTTACCCTCGCAACTCAACAAACCCAAATTCCTCTCAAGAACAAATTTCTTAACCATAACCACTATCATCACACTCAACAAAACCCTCTTCCAAGTTCCAAGTTCCAAATTCAGATGTAGATTTCCTCGAATATCATTAAATAAAATCCCCCCTAATTAATAAGCTTCTGATTTTCATTTTATCAATGAATCAACCCTCACACCATCGCCCACTCTTCCACTTCCTCTCATCTTGTCCCCCCATTAAGAGAAACAGATGTTCCTTAGCAAATACTTTAGCGAAAACAATCGATATATTCATTCACATACCCAACGCAATAGGAATATTTTTAGACATGCATATAATAGCAAGAACTTGAAGTGGATGTAATTCTCTATTCTCTATTTCTATTCTTTACTCCAAACTTTCATAATGGTATGAATGTTCGTCTAATGTAATGAACTTGTCTTTTCATTCATGATTTAAAAATATATGTGTATATACGTAGCTAATTCCATGTTTGCTGTGCTATGAAGCTTATCTCGAGCCCATGCCTAAGTTCTCGCGCGCAAAAGTATATTAGAATACAACGAAACGAAGAGTATCAGATTATATCGCAGCGCTGGTTTTCTCCTGTAGTCTCCCTCTCCCCCGTCTTCCACTTCCACTTCCAGAGCCTCCACTACCTCCACCCTTAACAGGATCTCCTCCACTGCCACCCCTCACAGGCTCTACGCCACCTCCACCACCTCTCCCCCTACCTCCTCTACCTCCTCTACCTCTCGTCCCACTCTTTCCTCTCCCGCTACCATTCTTTGCATCACCTCTCCCAACCCCACTGCTAGAAGCCTTCATCCTCTGTGCTTCTTCCTCAATTGCTCTCTTACTTTCCTGATCCCACCACTCCTGAAATTTTTGTTCTTCTTGAATTTCCTGAAGACTTCTCTTTGCAACTGCCTCTTTGATTACTTCTTGTTCTCTCTGTTGCATTCCAATGATATCGGCCATTGATAATTGCAGAGAGGGCTCTGCCTTGGATGCTGGTGCTTTGTATGATTTAGAATGAGGAATGAGTGGAGTAGATTTAGATAATGGTATTGGTTGTTTTGATGGACCAGGTGATGGTTTTTGTGCTTTTGTGATGCTACTGCCATCATTCCTTTTCTGCCCGGCGAATCTAGTATCTGGAGACGCAACTCGGCGTGTAGTCGAGGGAGTATTTGCTGGTGAAATCGCCGGTGAAATCTTTGACAATGGCGCTAAAGATGCCGGTGGAGATTTGTTCTCTTTATCAAGGACCTCCTTAAGATTTGTTCTCGAACCGACACCCGCAACTTGCCAAGGAGACGATGCTTTTTCTTTGCCTTTACTCACGGGAGTCTGTACAGCTTGTTGAAATGCTGCCTGTTGTTTCTTACGTTCCTTCTGTGAGAGTCTTGGGGTTGCCGACTTAGCAGTTGCTTCTTCATCCTTGGCCTTTTGGGCAGAGAGGCTCAAGGATAAATTGGAAGTACGACTTGTTGATGCCTGGGCCATGATTTCTTTCATATCGAGTTTCAGTGAAAGATTGGGGGAAGACCATGTCTTAGTTGCTGATTGAGGTGTGTCAAGAGCGTGATTGATTCCTAAACCAACAGAACTTGGTAGGTCTGTAAGAGAACCTGACTCTACAATCTTGGGTGTCGAGCTGCATGTAGGAAAACTTGGAGTGGCCGGACCACCAGGAGAAGCAGAAGTCAAATCCATAGTCAAGTTCAAGTCAGGTGGACTTCCAGGCAGTTCGTCGTCATCCATATCGAACATAAAGTCGGCCGCCGCATCTTTGGGACGTATACTTGGGCTAAAAGGTTCGTTCTTGGCAACCCTGGATCTTCTCCTGGCTTTCTCATTACTGGGAGAGGACAAATTATCATCAATACTCCCCATACGCATCTTGAAGGACGAAGATAATCGACTATCATCTTCTTTAAGATGAGCACGAAAAATCATATCTCCAAGTCTGCGACGCCTTTCCTCGTCTATGTCCTCTGCCAATTCCGGGTACTTCTCGTGTAAGTCCAGATCGGCTCGGCCACTTTTTGCAAACGGCAGACAATGTAATTGATTATCGCGTACGACTTCATCCAATTCGAGAACAAGCTCCTCGTCAAGATCATCAAGTAGACTATTTCAAGTTAGTAATGCACAAGACTAGACACTAAGATATTCCAGCTCATCAGAATGCCGAAAATAGACTTACTGATTCTCAAGCATTGACTCCAGCTGCAAGCACATATACTCAAGGCCAGCATGCTTAAGCTCGATGATTGAGCAAGGTGCTATAGCATTGACAATATTGCAGACATTGCGTGTAGTGACTTTCAGGAAGTTAGTATTACTCGTAAAACAATCTGTGAGGCACGAGTTGAGGAAAGAACATACCGAACCGACCCAAAACGTGCTGACAAATTTGGGATAATCTATCAATCATCAACTCGTTTGCAACACTCATGACATCTAAGATAAGTTCCGAGAATTCATCGATGTCTGTGGAGACTATGTGGTCGAAGAGCTCAGGCCCTATATCAACATATAGATAGCGTAATACGACCTCGAAAGTTTCTGGTGCAATATGCTTCAAATCGATTCTGATCGGACCCGTGTTTTCCGCACGTCTACCAACAAGCCATTGACCCCCGGACCGGCCATTGAATAGACCATCAAAGAAAGGACATCGTTGGCATGCAAGCGCACTGTGAATAGGGATTTCTCCTCCATCCAGCTCAACAAGAGCATCACAACCATCGAAGAACTTCTCATCTTTGATTGCATTGTCCATGTCGGTGGTTATTGAATCCGAGGGCCGTCTATGAAGTCCAGGCCCATTCAAGTATTCCATATTCAAATAGGAACCAAGTTCCATGAGTTGACCCCTAACCTTTCTATACCTGAAAGCCAATTGTGGGTAGTAATTTGCAAAGTTCCAAACATCAGCAACTTCATCCTGGTAAAGGAAGAGAACAATGTTGACGAGAGTGATAAAATCCAGGCCGTTGAAAGTGATTTGTGTTCTACCACTTGTACCTTTCTGAATGTTGAGAACATCCGGTTCCGATCTAGAACGATCGGGCAGCGACGCGGTTCCACTGTGACGGAACTCGGCTAGAAGTGATCTTAGTACAGAAGATCTACCTGCAACCAAGAAGCTATGGACAGGTATTGCGATGTCAGATGTGCTGGTACAGATCTCAATATCATAGCCGCTATCAAAATTCTGACCCATGAACAAGCGTTCGACGTCCCCCTCAAGGTCCGGAGAAGTAATGATTGCTGCCACAACAGACCCATAATCAGATGCCAAATTGTCTAAGCGATTCTTCCATTTTGCTTGCTGTTCTACTGGATACTCTGAAGCCACGAGATCTTTTATGCTCGACAATGGTGCAAGTTCCTCCAACAATGTCTCATCTTCAATTCTCACTTGAGTCCTAGTCACGTCACAATCCTTACGGATCGCCGCAAACACACCAAAAGGATTACTTCTGACAGCAACTACTTTGGTAAGTCCAGGAACCCGCTGAAATTTGAAATCTCTACGATCATAATCGCTATTCCCAGTGAAAGAATCCTTATTCTTAGCTCTCTTGACACGTCGCCACACAGCACCTGCCTGGGTGCAAACTATGACGGATCCATTTTCGGCAACACCAACAGATTTTATTCCATCCCAGTTACCCTTGCGGAGTGACCAGACTCGCTGCGGCTGTGATAGAGCTTCCTTGATTTTTGAGGGGTTAGTTGTTGAAGCTGCCGCAACCTTCGTATCAACCTTCCTTACGTTGAAGGTGTATAAATCTCCTCTACCAGAAATGGCCGCAATTGTGTCTCCACCAGACTCAATGTTAGTGATATTGTTCGACTCGTTGTCATATCGGGTTATGAATGAAGTGCTTTGAAGATAGTAGTTTGTGGAGCTTTCATGTAACGGGAATTTGACCATATTATAACCATAATTCGTGAAAACACAGACGGTATGGTTTTCCAGAAGGCATATAGTTGCACTATTGATAGCTGAAACTTTCACAATCGATGACTTGAATAGAGATGCCGCAACTCTACGGGGTACTGGTTGAGCCTCCAAGGATCGGGAATCAGAATCCATAAGGCCTAATTGCCCTTCGTTCTTTCCCCAACAGAACAGTGAGCTAGATGTATGAGCCACCGAATGAATAGCAGATGCAGCAATACCGACAATGGTTTCTCTTTTCAGAGGTCCAAAGATTTGGCGCGGAATTGTGCAGATGGGTTCTTCATCCTTCAGTGCAGGGCGAGGTAGATTGTAGCCTAATTGGCCCCAAGTGTTTGTGCCCCAGCTGAAAATCTCTCCTTCAGATGATACAGCAAGGGTATGGTTCTGGCCGAGAGCAACAGTCGATATTTTCTTCCCTGCTAAACCGCCCTGGTTGACTGGCACATAATTAAAGCGAGTGGTTTCATCTCCCATCCCTAATCTACCTCCAGGACCAAAGCCACACATGTAAAGGTTTGATTCTGGATCGGTGGTCAAGACAGCACTACTCAACTTGGAAAGAACAACATCTTGTATGATGATGGGCTTGTTTTGGATCATGGACGGAAGCTCTGATACAGTAGTAGGAAAGTTTTCGCGACCCGCGACAGGATTGTCATGACGGACAGAGTCTAGGTAGTTTTCATAAAATTGAAAGAGCAATCGGTCAGGACGCTTCAGTGTTATCCTTTCCGGATATTGACGATCATCCTGATCACCAAACCCCAATGAAAAGTTTTTGTTGCTACCAAAAGCAAAAAGCTCATCCCCATCAATAATTTCCGGTTCTGACACATCAATTTTGAGCAGCTCAGAATCACCGTCATTAGAGTCGTCGTCTCTTTCAGCGCGACGTAATCTTTGCTCTCTGATATATTCCCGAATCGATCGTGGTGCGATGGTCGCATTATAGACATCAAAAGGAGTGTTTCCCTCCCGATCTTTGATCTTAATAACTGACGAGTCCGGCTTGGCTCCTGTGTTTCCAGCAGCGCGGTCCTTTGAGTCCCTTTCAATGATTGCTCGAGCAATCGTGACATTACCAAAATACAAAGCCCTATGCAATGCTGTCCATCCACTTTCTGTATCTTGTATGTAGAGATCGATAGAAGGATGATCGATAAGGGCGGTAGCAAATTCTATTGCATTCGCAGCTGTCGAAGACGCAGCTCGGTGCAGAACTGTTAACCCAGCATGATCTCTGCTATTTAACTCCGTTCGACTGATCGAACTTCCCTGCCCTTTGGTCCCATTTATGTTTCCAGCGGGACCAGAAGTCTTGCGACTCTTGCCGAAAGTCTTGGGTGACGTTCCAAACCCTCCCGAACTTCCTATCTTATTCCCAAAGCTACTCGAGAATGCCGTTCCTCCACCGTGTCCTTTCAATGTATGCGGCGTATTGGCGACATTTGCCAATATGCGTCGAAATTTATCGACGTCATCTTCGAGATAATATTTCCAGAGAAGATTGCTCATGTGTGGATGAGGGTGGCAAGAAGGATATCTTCCGATTACTTCAATGAACACCTAGCTGTGGCCTCGGGGGACACGGCGTTTTTAAAGGTGTTTTGAAGCGGAGGAAGACTCCTGGTAATATATAAGAGAAATAAAGTCTGGGCTTGGTCTGCCAGACGTCTTAATCGATAATTCAAGGTGGCTTGGGCGATTGTGAAGCGGGGGTGCTTATGCTATTGACGGAAAGTTGTACGAGCTCCGATACCTGTAGAGTTTAAATGTTTTTGATCGATTTCATGTATTCGATTGATATCGCGTTATGAAATCTGCGGTCTTGCTGTTAATGTAAGTTAAAGTGGTTGAGTCGGTATCGATATGGTTATTGGGAATGTGTCGCACAATGTGAAGGCCGTTGATATTGTGCGACGCGATAAATGTCCTGGCCAATCGGAATGGCGACTTCAACAGCATGCTTACGGAGTATCTTGAACGTGGGGCAATTATTTGACGAGACCCATCGTGTTTTCTTACCTACCGTCATAACTTCTTACCTAAATACGTAATATAATGATAAAATTGAAGATTTGTAACTTTCAATGAAGCTTGGGAAGAAAGTAATAAATATATTGGCATGAAGCTTTCTTTATGTATTCGTGCTTTAACTCCAAAAGCCATTTTCTGAAGCGGTGAAGGAAAGGGACCCACATGCTCATGCAATTCTCGATACATTCTCGATATTTTCTATCATAAATCGTATTTTTAAGAGGAAGTCGAAGCACGCTCTATTATTGGTTGTTATTCTGTATGGAAATCTAGGTAATGAAGCCCGTAGTTCTGTGCTATCATTTTCCAATCTTTGGACTCTGATCTCTATGATGAAATGTATACTTTACATGATGACCACAACATTTTTTTTTGGCAGGTCTAAAATGTATCTGAACTTTTCCTCGAATCCAAACCTGCTGTCTGTCTTCTGCCAGCCCCTCTCAACATAGCTACAAGCGAACCTTTTGGCTGATGTTTCCATCCCAGTGTTCTCTTAATGGGCTCATCTTCGCCGGTGAAATGTAACTCCTATCTCAATTATTGATCGAGTATGAACAAACATCACCCATGATTTCCGACTTCTCTGTCGAGTATTGTAAGATGGCTGGACGAATCCGGTCCTGTGATTAAGTTTCTTAATACCTTCATTCCTGATGGCCTGATGATAGCCTTGACTTCGATGATGACTTCCAACTTCCGTCAACAGATCGTCTGACTTTTCGGGCACTGTTTGAAGTGTAACCTATCATTCCATCTCAAGTCTTCAGACCACTTCCAGGTGTCTCATCCCCAGCCTCTGTCCAATCTTCCTCTCCTCTTCTTGCTCCCCAAAACCCTCTTCCATAACTAACCAAAATCTCCTCTCCCTTTTTAATCCCCTTCCACTTTCCCACACCTTTTCCCTTCCCTCCACCAGCCTTCTCCCCTAGTACCCAGACTCCCATACCTCTCTCTCCCCTTGCACTATCCCAAATCTCTTTAAACTCAGCATTAACCCTCGCCCTCTCCCCACCAATAGTTACCCCCCTGAAATCATTGATAAACCTCGCTTCATTCCCCTTTCCTTGTGCATCAACCCCAATACCTCCCTCTCGATCCAAACTCAAATCATAATCACTCTTCTCATGCCATTCTACCAGCTTCTTGATCTTTTCATCCGCTAAAGAACTTGGTGCATGCACTTCACCAATGTACTGCAGAACGAAAGTTCCAGGTTTCAAGTCTCTCGTAGCGAATAATCCACTCTGGCCATTGGCAGGATGAGATGGATCGCTAATGGACGTGATTTTGACGAGGGGTGAGGGGCCTTTGGTGTGAGAAGTGGGAATGGGAAGGGAGTCTGCGGTTGGCGTGCGGAGAATTTTCAGATGTGAGGGGGTCATTGTTGTGCAGTATGTAGGGGTTGTCAGATATGGGATCTGAGAGGGCCAGTTTTTGGGCAGGGGTTGAGATGGTGCCATTTTCTTTTGTGAAGAATTTGTGTAGACGGTTGGGGTCTAATTGAGTTTCCAAAGCCGTCTCCTAACTCACGCGCATCTCTTGAAAAACAGCTCAAGATACCTCAATGAAATACAAGATCGATGAAACAGACACCTCGATCTTCGTGATCCCTGAAATCCGTGTGCATATATCTGTATAGGAACTGAGCTTATTCCCAAATGATTTCTCTCAACCTCTTTACCTCTTTACCTCATGATCAATTGGCCTGCCCCAGACCAAAAATCTTCCATCCCCAAACGCCAAGCCTTGGCGTCCGTTAGCGTCCGCCCCCACAAAGCCCCAGCAACAATGACGAGCACGGCGACCAACCCTGTGAGGATCATTCTATCATACAATATCGACTTTCTATTTCGATACTTGGAGTTAGCCATTCACTTTCTTGTTTACGAAAGATGGGCTTTGGAAATGCCATGTTTTCCTTGATAGACGGTGAGATGCTCCTGATTGTGACAAGGCGAGACAGGATATACGAATGGCAGGGTAAGGAATGCGGAAATTGGATGTAAACGGTTGACGGTGATAGGGCTGTAAACAGGTTTTTGATATGACGCAGATGCTTGCAATAAATAGGAACAGTTGCTCCTTGCTATATTTTGTGTCGTTATTTGCTCACGACAATGAGGTCATCTTTGATAAGTGACGCCACAGAGGTGAAGCGATGGATGCTGGATTGAAGCGGTAGCAGGTATAAATTGATAGATTTCACCGCCACATCTACTTAATTCTGAATCTAGTTCATGATATATCTACCTATCTACAATACAATCCCATCGCAATCAAATTATAAAACAAATCAAACTGAACGACACGATCTAGCCTAATTCAACTCGAATCAACAGCAAATACCAAAGCAATCATGCCTTCCCTCGTTGATTCTCTCACAAACCTCGTCTCCTCCATCTTCAACGCCATTATCGCAACCTTCAGCTCCATCATCGCCTTCCTCCAATCAATCCTCAGCACGATCCTCGGCCTCATCAATGCATTCTTCGCCGCAGTCGGTTCTGGTCTCGCGGGTATTGCGCAGACATTTGAGGGATTGGTCAAGTTCCTTTTGAGTACGTATACTTTTCTTCTTTCAATTGGTGAAATAGGAGGTAAAAAGGAAATGGGAAGGATTAACGATGAAAATGTGAGAACACAAGCTAAATCTTCTCTTCAAACAGGCAACATAGTTATCGTCGCCGCCCTCGGCGCTACCTTCGTTGCATACACCGTCTATCAACGCAGTCAAGGAAGACCTGTTACTGCTGCACCCGGTAGCGCCAAGAAGACTTCTTAAATTTAATTTTCTCTCAAATCTTGGTGCGCAGAGGCGCGCTAGCAGGACATGATATGAAGAAATCAAGTACTAGGAAACTTCCAGCGGAACAACAACATTGGGATACATAATAGGAGCGCTTGCCGGATGCAGGAAATCGAAGGAGATGAAAGGAAAGGACAAAATAATGAAAAAGGGGCGGTTATCTTGCAGAACACACTTAATGATACCTCACTACGTAGTACTAATACAACAACCAAAGCAAACACCTGCAACAAAAATCCATCTTGGAGTGACGCACAGATGATGAACTACACATCGTGTGACATTTTCCACCTTTCAAATGAATCTATCGGAGCCGGAATCCGAGTCATATCGTACAAATTCCGTACGACGTGAGTATGTATTCCGCGATACTGTAGATTCCGTGGGGGCGCATTGATCCATCTACCTCTGCATTTCCCCTACCCATTCAAATGTTTCGCATGTAAAATAGATAAAGTATAGGCACCTATGTAAGTAGTATTCGGTTACAAGGCTCGCATGGAAAGGGGGTTTTCATTTTCTCGCCTGATTCCCTCAAAATTACCTATTATACCGGTCAATACGAAGCACTAAGCATTTCTCCTATCGAAATGAATCATCTCGGTCGTGCGTATTCTCATTCCAGATGTGGATAATCCCGTTTCTGCAACTATAAAAGCCATCGACGAAGATCTTTATGGGTATCTCCGTCCCGGCGTCCCGGATTTTGGGATGCGCATCTATTTGTAGACTGGGGTTGCGCTCAGACTCGAGATTGTTTGATAGAGGAGTTGGATGGAGTGAATAGCCACGCACGCCATAGTCGATGCGTATTGGGAGATCAGATGCACAGGTTTGATATCTCCGCGCAGGTGTCGAATTAGTAGGTGAAATCTCAAATGAATCTGCTATGCTCACGAGAAGAGAATGAGAGGAAGAGACTAAGATGAATGTCATTAACTCGAGTCAGTGACTATTATATTACTTTTTACTTACTAGGTGTGTAATCTCTCTAAATATACATCCAAAAAAATCCTATCCAGCACATCCATAACTTCCCCATGCTCTCCCCTTTCACCTCCACCTCGTACGCCCCTCGGAATCCGGAACTGATTCATCGTCACCCTACCACTCACGAGCGTCAATGCACATACCTACCTACCTGCCAAAAAAGCTTATCACCTATAAACATTAATAGCAACGGCAATTAAACCATCCTTCTTCCAAATTTATTCATGAAACCACTGACTAATCTACTAATATACGACCGTCAATCAAGATCCAGACTGCTCTTTGTCTCCTTGGCAACACGTGGCTTATTTTTGATTTGATAATTTTGATTTGAGTTTGCTGCCGCATTCTTTAATTTCTTCGACCTAGGAGTGCAAATCTAGGACCCTTACATCTCCTCCCGTTTTTAACATTATGCAAAAGATGATTGGATGATGCACCGCACCTCTGAGAATCCAGGGTTTTCTCACTTGCTCGTAATCGGAAATGCTCGACCTGCTTGCCGCAAGTCCACGAGGAGGAATGGATTGCACATGCAGTCCACGTGACACAAATGAGGTATTTATTCTATTGGTTCATTTTACTTCGCATGCCATTCATTTTGTCGAGTACCTATCTCTGGCGGTGAGAACCTGTTTGCGTGCCCGGTTTGCGTGCATCTTGTTCGTGGAGATCGGAGGAGGATACAGATTAAGTTTAAGGTCTTGAGCTCGAGGACATTTGATGCGTGGGGTTGTGGTTTTGAAGCTTACAAGCAGGTTGCATCTGCATTAGTTGGTTCTGTAGGCAATGTAAACATTGCATATGGGAGGAGGATTGGATGGAATTGAATTGAATTGAATTGAGAGCGGGTAGCGCGAGACTCGCGCGAGAGAGGATGTTTTAATTGTTCTGATCTTGTGGTTCAATTTGAATATCCAGCTAGAATGAAAAAGGTGGAAATCTGGATTGTAGGTAGGTATTGAGGAAAGCATTGGAGCTGAGTAGCTACTGAAGTTTCGTTCTCGGGTCCATCCCTTAATCTCCATTCGCTTGTGGGACAAACAATTCTATCATTGCAAGACTGCAAAGATACAACATGTTATGCATGATATAAGAAGCTCAATTGACCCCCGCAGAATTTCTGTACCTACAGCATTTAATCATTTCAAAGTAAATAAACAAGCAGAATCGGTCCGTGTGATTGTTCAAAGTGAAAGAAGTGCAGGTGAGCAAATGATCATATTACACTTAAGGTTGGTTTTTCATCACCATAGAGCATCGTGGCATCGGAATTTTGTACCATCAATTAAATGATGGTTGATATCAGTCATATTATGACGAAGAGGGCGCAGCATGCATGTCAAATTTTGATCGTTCCTCTGATTTCCCTCGTGGGGTTGGAGTTCATTTGATATGTACAAAGAGCCAGGCGAGCTCATCCCTTGCGAATAATTTCGTGCAGCTGTCTTCGAACGTGGCAACTCTAAAATTCGTACGTTGCACAAAGTTTTCGACAGTCTTATAGCTTCAGCGTTAAAATCCCAGCATTCTGGTGGACTCGCCGACCATGCATTGCACTACAGTGCTAATGTGAATGACGGCCTGTCATACCATGTTTTTATTGAGGGTTCTTTAGTCTCGAGTTGGTGAATTTGCAAACGTCAAGGACTCGATCTCGACTACCGACTGCCGTAGAACTAGTGATAAGATCGTCAATTAGCTAGACACATGTTTCGGGAGATGCACATCGATTTGTGTACATGCCATTAGTATAGGTTGTGTTCTCCGTTCAACCGTGGTGCGTGCGTGAGCCATAAGGTAAGATGGGAGGAGGATAACATTCCCGTCCCGTAGAAGTTCCGAGTGTTCTTCGTCACCATGATTTGCGCGCACATCATGTCAAGCCATATCAAATATGATACATGGAAGTTGGTGTAACGTCGACTATCTTGGGCTACTGATATTCCGGGTCCGTCAGAAAAACGGTAATTATACGGGGCGGGTATCATTTTTGGGGCTGAGTCGTTGGTGTTAATGCTGGTGCTGATTCATGGGGGATCTGTAGGTGTGGTGGGATGTGTGAATGGCTTGCATATCTCCCTTGAAGAAAGTGTACAGTAACCGTAAAGGCATTCATTGTATTTGAAATTTCAATGTATGTTTTCAGGGCAAGGCGTGAAAAGAGAGCGATTCGAGGGTGATAGTGGGCCGATGAATTCTCGATGTGTTTTCGATGTATTCTCGATGCATTCTCATTGAAGGAAGGATGTTTAGAGTTACTGGAAACCTTGATAGAATTCGTTCTTGTGGTGAACCAATAACAGATCCACTGTTGAATCGGTTGTTGAACAATAAAAACATCCATCATCTGTTTGCTTATCTGCATGTGTGAATGCTTACTTAGATTGGCTGACCACAGGAATATGTTTCAATGAAGTCAAAACCGTTTCCGGGGAAGTAACTTTTTGTGGATGGATTGTGGATTCCGATCATCTTTTTGCTCTGATTTGATATTATTTCTCTTGACCCTAATCTTGACCTGCCCGTATATGGAGTTCTCCAAGACGCCATGGTTTAAAACTTTGAACTGGGAGACAGACAGATTGTGTAGGTCCACCAGGTCCAACTCTATAGCCTTTAAGGAGAGAAAAGAAGCCACCACCCAGACATTGATGGCTGAAATTGCGTACATGCAAATCAACATTTGGCGCTGAGGAAGTACTGGATCTTTCATATATTGAATTCCTGTAGATTGTAGATTGTTCGGTATCTGCATATGAGCAATCGAATACGGGTAGTAAAGTACACTAGGTGGTGTGGCACTGTAGTAATGGCAGCTAGTAGAGCAGGGGAATACAGAGAAGAAGAATTCTTCCCAGCCTATATTACTGATGATCAGAAGCAGGTGGTCATCATTCATCCTTTATTTCGCTGGCAGAGGGTCCAAAGCCTATACCGGCACAGTCACCAAACCTGCTTGATGTGACTTGATATGACTTGATATGACTTGATTTGGCTTGACTTGACTCGACCTGATTCGACCCGATTCAAGATCAATGAAAAGACAGGAGTACGAGTAGTCAAATCATAATGAATGAATAATGAACTCGATGAATGAAATTGAAGTGTTTCGCTTCGATGAGACTAACCAAACAATTACCACTTTGGAGAAAATAGTGGGAGAATTAGACCATGAAATACTTCATAAACCCTTACTACCTGGCTACCTAGTTTTTCTTACGCCCACTCACCTTCACTCCCACCACCACTCACTTCTCCTCTCTTTTCTTCACTCCCCACCACTCACTTCTCCCCTCTCTCTTCACTCCCACCACGCCCCTGGGTAGGAATAATACACACCCACCGACTCTTCTTACAACCACAAGCGATCAGACCCAGCCCACTTCTCACCCACGCAATCCTCATTACCCTCATCACCCTCATTACCCTCATTACACGGTACACACTGGCCACACCATAAACCAACGAACTGAACAAACTGCGTCTTTGGTCTGTTTCAATCACAAACACTCAAATCTTAATACTGTGGGTTAAGGGTCACCGTATTCCTCATATAATTCATTTTCATCGCCCAGTTTTCTATCCAGCTATTCACATTTCAACTTGTCCTCCAAACAAAGGAACATAACCATATAATTTGGTAAAGCCAAACCGGCCTCGGTGTCCCGCTGTTCTAAGCCGGCGCCAGACGGTGCAAGGCTCTGCCATTGTAAAAAAATAAAATCCTAAAAAAATAAACAAATCTCCCCTCAATCTTCCTTCAATTTTCTATTCTCGGATATCGCATCTTACCGGCGTTGGATCACATATTCAAATTTGGAGTCAAAGGGCATATACCCACGGCAGCGGCATTTTACTTTTATTATATATCAGATCAATTTCACATATTGCTCTCTTAACTTTTATTTACTTCGACTCGATCTATTATCGACTCAGCAATTCGATTGAATTGCATACAATTTCCTAAAGATCTCATCTATCATCTTGAGGGTGGTTTTTTCCCATCTTGTTACCAGTGACGACTTCTTGACGGTCGTCCAACTTTATCCTTACTCTGACATAAAATACATATATATCTCACGCTCGATTTCATCTCTCTTCAAGATGATCATTGACGGGGAGAAGTGGGCTTGTGACGCTTGCGTCAGAGGTCATCGTGTTAGCAACTGTCATCATTCAGACAGACCTCTGCAACACATCAATAAAAAGGTATACCAATTGTGTTTTGTTGTGCCGATCTTGCTAACCAGACTCGTTCAGGGCCGTCCTGTCTCACAATGTACTCATTGTCGAACAATGCGCAAATCCAGAGCAGCACATGTTCGATGTGAATGCGGTTCAGAAAAGGCACATTCCAAAGGATCCTGTCTGGAAAATGGAGATACACAGGGTGAGCTTTTACGACACACTCCTGGCACAACGATTCCAGTTTCTGACATAATTAAAGCAGATACCTGTTGTTGCAGTCATGGAGCCCGATGCACTTGCGCTTTGAAAAATGATCATCTCCCTCCAGTACCCGAGTCCGACTCTGATGAAACCCCTTCGATGTCTATACCAGTATCCAAACCAAGACGGCCTCGTGCGCAGACCACTCAATCGGAAAACAATTTGACAATATTTACAAATGGACACCACAAGCCCGTACACAAGAATAACAACATGGCTCACAAATGCGGTCTGCCATACACCGTGCCCCGAGCACACTCAATCCATGGACAATCATCATCGAGTCTGGCCAATAGGTCTGTTGATAATTTACCACACACGAGCGCTATCGATACTTTACACAGCGAATCTCAAATCAAAGACTCTATAGTGAGTGCTCAACAGGAGCAGCGAATGATCAAATCCGAACATGCATCGCCACTCGTCAGCCCTACAACAAACTTCCACCAAATTAATGGTCAATTACCACCTTTGGATATAACAAATATGTCGACCCCAGATTACAACAACATATATCAATTCGATGGATATGGTGGGGCAATTCAAGATTTCGAACAACCGATATTCTCCGCTGGAATCGGTTCCGCTTCTGTCGATTGGAGTAATTATCCGGGATTAAATTTTAACGATGACAATTTCGCAGCCTCTTCTTATAGCCAAGCAGCATCATTCAATGGATTCGACTTTTCTAGTATCGATAATCCAGCATTAACGACTACATCAACCTCTGGGGAACAATCAGAAATTGAAGATTTCATTGGTGTATCGGATCCTTCCAGGCCTGCATTGATGAACAATCAGAACAACCAATACGGGTCTGATCTTGATGCATCAGAATTTGGTGGAGAAATTGATAGATACAGATTAAGTACGACGTCATCATCCTATCTCGACATGTCACAGATGCAGATGCTCGCAAGCAATGATGTTGGAAATTTTGGACTTGAGGAATTCATGAAACCAAGCTCCAGCGAATTTTTACCATTGACACCTTCAAACCCAGGTTTACCTATGACAGGATATCCAACCGAGATCAAGAATAATCTGCAAATACCATTCGACGAGAACAACACGTTTTTGCCCATAGATGTAGAAGAAGCCGACAATTTTTGGATGACGGAATATTCGGCTGCAAACAACATTGCGGCTAACAATACGAATGGAGTACAGGATGAGATTGTTTGGAGACAATAACCCTGGTGGAAAGGCAAATGGCCTCTGTGTGCAAATTCCTGATCTTTGGATATCGAATTCGATTACTTACGATGATCACTTTCCCATGAGTTTCAAGTACAGACTGGCGGCAATAGCGTTTGGCACAAGAAGTGCAGCATTTTCAGGTGGCATTATATTTTATAGACGTCTCTTGTGTGAATAGCGATAAATGACTTACATGACCAAATTATATCATGATGCATCCTGTGCATGCACTTGATATGAAGTAACTGACTTTAGTGATGATCTCGCGTTGATATATTTTTCCGTCCACAAATTGAGGACCGGATGCCAACCCATGTATGATACATAGATGACTCTGCAGGCAAAACGGTTATGCCGAACTAACGATACGAGGAATACTTTAAATTGCATCAGTCGCTCTCAATTTGCTCGACGCAATGTCACCATAAACAAGACAACAGATCGGCTGATGAATTAGGTGTTGACTTCCCCCGACTGGCTTCGTATTGTAAAAGCACGAGAAGGGTGGTAAGAAAAGTAGTAAGAAAGCGCCGATAGGCAAAACGGTGGCATCCAAATCGCAAATTTGATCGAACACGATCTAGATATGGAGAGGAGTTGTGACTGTTGGGATCTCGTTATTGAAAGTTTATTAAAGATTGATCAAGTGGTGATTAGGTCCTAGGTGAGATTGGTGCGATTCGACGAGTCACTTGCACGCTTGTCGGATTGCATGGACGATTCATGCTACGTTCAAACAGTAGGTAAAGTATGTTTCTTCTAAGGCGGAGGAAATGGGATAAATATCTTCCAGTTGTGACAGAAGATCTCGGTATTTTAAAACATTTGACCGAGCCCCCTCCTCTCTGCGCTGTATGCGAGAGAGAAAATGAACGGAGAAGTTGGAGGTAAGAGGGATTGAGAAGATCCTGTTTGCCAAGACAGACACATCCCTATTAATATTGAAAGGGTCACATCTTAGTTCATAATACGACACTGATACCCGGCCGGTATAGGCTGATGAGTGACTTGAACGTTACATCGGGGAGTCGAATATGGGCACAAGTTGCATTCTTAGGATTTACGTCGCATGATGAGGTTAGGAGGATATCAATAGTGTGGACTCGAACAGAACAAGAGTACTTCTTCTTCCGGCGAGATCAGGCTTCTTTTGGCAGAGAGAAGGAGGGAAGTGGTGGAATTGTAAGTTCTTCAGGAATGGGTAGGATGGTCTGGGGTATTTAGGCTGGATAGATGCATGAGGGTGCTATGCAAGTGATCAAATGAGTATAGATTCCATCGGTTGTTTGGGGAAAGTTGGCAGGATACCGTATGTAAGCGTGAACTCGTCTCCAAAAGGCTGAAGTGGAACTGGCAGGGCAGTAGATGATAGGTCCAATAAGGAGAAGGAGATATGAGGACGAGGGTATCATCCCCAACCCTTCTGCAAGGGCTCCCGAGAGCGTACATGGAGGCTGGTCAGTATTTGTAGATATGGCCGATGGTGGATCAACAGGAAGTTAAACAAAATCAATCAATCATGATTTTCCCTCTAGACATCACTCGTAATCCTTCTCCGAGATACCTAGTTAACCTGGCCGTGGATATATTGTTCACACCCTGCTCCCCCACATTTCCAACATTCGTAGCTCCCGTCCCCCTCCCTCCCCCTCCCTCCCCCTTCTCCACAAGCTGGAAAGATCACCTGCCGAGGAAGCTTCTTTCACTTATGAATATGAATATGAATATGAACATGAATATGAATATGAACATGAACATGAACATGAACATGAACATGAACATGAACATGATCATGACCTACCGACATACTTGTGAGATATGAACGGAGAAGGATGAAGGAATGAAATTCTTGATGCAACTGCAACTGCAACCACAACCACAACCACAACATCCAGAATCAAAGAATTAAAGCTTTCCAGGTCAGATCAACACACTTCTTCGTATATGAGAGTTGGTTGTGTATACCAATGAATAGATATGGAAAAGCTCACAGTTGATAGGTTTTCCAATTTTCCGAAGTGTTTTATTGTGATGCAGTACAAACAAGGTATTGTGGAACAACATCTTGAGTGGCATCTCTACCACGGAAGAAAGCGAGAGGGAAGATAGTAAGAAGCAAAGAAACATCAATGAAGAAGATACAGATACCGGATCATTCATACCTAACTACCTACTCATATTACTATACTGGAAATCGTTTCAATCTTTCAGTGAGTGGCCAATCAATCCTTGGACTGTTCTTTCTTTCTATCCATCTATCCATCTATTGCACATTCATTCATTCTCTTATGATCGATCCCTTTTCCCCATGACTTCCATCGTCTTAAAAGCCACTTCTTATCATTCCAAGTTTCCTTACTTCTCTCATGCTTACCCTACCTAGGTCTAAAACCTTAAATCTAACCCCTCATCACGGATTATCCGAAAGTTCCGTTTCAATCCAGCATTGTTATTGTTGTTGTTATGGTTATGGTTATTGTTTCTGTTTCTGTTTCTGTTTCTTTCTTCATTCGAGGTACTTCGGGACTCTTGGCTTGTATGGATTGAAGATTGAATGTTGAACATTGAATGAACATATTTACCCCATCGGAGGTTACTATCACCGAGGTAGGAAGAAAGCTCCACCTTATCCTGGATTCTCATTAGTGTCTCGAGCTGGTGAATTTCATTGGATATCTCTTATTAATTCTCCAAACCTTCAATAATAATAATAAGAGTCCTTGACTGATTGAATGCTTCAGCTTATTACTTTCTACCTTTGTGAAGCTTCTCGGACAACAGTTCTTCCATGACCGAAAATTTCCATATTCATCACACCATCCAAGGTAACAATCTACAACTTCCGATCGTTGTACAGTGAGCATCGCCTTGTTTACTGTTCTGCAAACTAATTAATTGGAGTCGCATACATCTTCTCCTTCAAAAATCCTCTCAAGTAAGTTCATTGAAGCCAATTTCATTGTTTGAGAATGCCCGGAACTATAACTATAACCTAATGTGCGATACCTACTGGGATCGAGACGGAAGTGAATAAAAGTACTATAGGCAAGAATTCTCATAACTGACGCTTCTTCAATTAGGAAAATATCCAACCTTCCTTTCTTTTGCGCCGATGAGGTCAAAGTGAAGGAAAAAAATGAATCATAACGACGCGCCAACAATGCAATCCTATCCATCTCCTAACGCGACTGCTGCTGATAGTAGTGGTGGACCTTTCTATGGACCAAATTCCTCGAATCCACATCCCAATCAACATCAGCAACATTTACCTTCTCCCGATGAGCTGCAACTTGCAGAACAACTATCGGCCGATGCTCAATTATCACGCAGTATACAGCCGAATATGGGAGCCAATCGTGGAATGAGCGAAAATCCAGATTCTCGAAATCAAGGGAATGTCAACATGAACCACCAATACCAACCAGATCATCAAATGCATGGAGGACATACACCTATGAACCATGGACTTATGGAAGTGGGTCCTCAATATGAGGATGATTCTATATCTCCAGCTGGAAGAAAGAGATCAAAGGTATCGAGAGCTTGTGATGAATGCCGAAGGAAAAAAATCAGATGCAATGCCAACGAACCAGGAAATGAAGATATATGCTCAAATTGTAAAAGAGTTGGTGTTCATTGTCAATTTAGCAGGCAGCCTATGAAACGTGGACCAAGTAAAGGGTAGGTTTTGTAAAACCAGCAATCATGATCTTGAAGGAGACTCACTGACAAAGTAGTAGCTACATTAAAGAGCTTGCTGATCGGATCAATACATTGGAAGGTCAAGTGCAAGGAAGTGAAATGCCTCAATATCAACAATCACAAGATATTTTACAAAGAAGACCTTCCGAAGAGTTTTCTCCGACTCCGAACCCTGAGCAACTTCCCCGCAAGCGCGGTTATTCTTCAATTTCCGGGGTCGGCGAATTTAATTCTCCGTATCAGAATCAACCACAGAGGTCAGCTTCCAATTGGATCCCTCAAGAACAACCGCGTTCTTCAATTTCAAATTCATCGTATCCTACCGGTGCACCACTACCCGGTACCACTCAACTACCCACCAGAGAGCAAAACTACTCGCCAAATATGACAGTTCCTCAACAGAAGTGGGTGAACGCGCCTGATGTTAGTGGTTCTGTTGAAACACTCAATCATACCTCACAGCCTCATAGTGAAGATCCTGTGGACTATATCGATGATTCTCTTCTTGAAAAGTATGTCATCACTTAGAACGTACAAAGTGCACACTTACTAACAACAGTTAGTTATTACAAATTCATACACCCAACTTATCCTATACTATCCCTCACCAAAGCTAGGTTAATTTCTCGGCTTTCTTCTTGTCCTGCTCCTGTCAGACATGCTTTTTGGGAGGCGTTATATGCGGCAATCAGATCTTTCCCAACCGCAGTTCCTCTCAAGCCACGAGGTATTACAAACGCTGTCAGACTCATCCATACAGTTCAATATGATTCGCAAACCATCCGTTCTCCTACTACAATGATCGCATACCTTCAAATCATGATGCTGCTTTCAATTGAGGCCAACAATCTCCCTTGTGATATTCAGGACGGTCAAATTACTCAGTTACCATCTGTTTGGTTGAGTACCGCTGTTGGTTTTGCCTATTCTACGAAATTACACGCACACAAACCCATTGACAAGTCGAACAATGATCCGGATTCTGATGACAAGCATGCGAGGCGAGTTTGGTTCAGTTTGGTCATTATGGAGAGATGGAATGCTGCAGTGAGAGCTTGTCCAATACAAATTCCAGATTCGGTTGCACAGATTTATCCTGATGATCGAGCTATATTGGGTGAAGTTACATACCATTTAATTCGTAAGTACAGCCTTCTCATCTTGCCTGCTTGACTCTTGCTGACTACATAGGTATCGCCGTTGTTATTGGAAACTACACGGAGGTGAATCTTGCTACAAATGACTTGCCACCGCTCGCAGTTCATCGTGGACTTCACTCCCGACTCCTCAAA